TTGGGTTTTGGTAAATATAATTTATTAGCCAAAATTTTCAAAAAATTTAATTAGAATGTTGACCGTCATATATCTATTCTCGGTCAATATCATATTGTCAACTCAATATTACTAACAAAACTTCTAACAAAAAATTAATTTTTAGCTAATAATACTAACAAAATACCCTAATGAGCCACATAATACATGCACATAGGCATCACCTGGTAATAATAAAACACAAAAGCACTCTCTCCCTACCAATCATAATATGCCAACCCCGTAGCCAACTACCAATAATATTCTGATCACAAGTAATTCTTAGACCATTCACATCAATACACTTCATTTCCAATTCTATTAGTAGCTTCTATTATCACTTTATAAACTGAGGTTAGGTTACTAACACCTAATTTATTAGCATGATGCTAATATATAATTTATTAGCATTAGGGGTGTAAGTCTAGCTCTAGATACGTACCCACTAACCCGACCCGGCCCGGCCCGACTCAACTCGACTTTGAGGGTCGGGTTGTGTCAGTTTGTCTTTAGAGCCGATTTAAGGTCGAATTATCTTTTGGCACTTTAAGAGTTGGGTAGGGTCGGGTCAATTTAGGGTGCCACTTTTGACCCTATATAGTCCATAACAACTACTGATTTGAAATTTCTCATACCAAAAGATTAGACTTATTTATTAAGTTTTAACAACGTAGGTATGCAAAAATGGACTTGGTCTAGTAGTACTACCGCTAGTCTTGAATTTGGAGATTCTAGGTTCGATTTCGTTAAGTAGCACCTTATAATGAAAACAACCATATATCACCCATATCTAAAAAAACAATTTGGGTATCATAATGCAATCTAAAAATATAAAGGTACTATAACATAATTTTGCCACCAAAATTTATGGACCTATGTGTAATAAAATAAAGTTTAGGTAATAAATTGTAAAAATAAATTTATGTACCAAAATATAATTTTTCAAATATCAATTTGTTGATAGGGGTCAACCCGCAGACTTGGCCCCACCTAACCCAGTCCCACCTAAGTGGGTCATATAGGGTCAAGAGCCAATAGGGTCGGGTCGTGTTTGTAGCTCTATATGGCTGAGTATTTTACGGTACTTCTAAGATCAGAATTTGGTGTGACCCCAGTTTCACCCTAGTTAGCATGATGCTAACACTACCATATCCAATAAAAACTTTTATTTTGCTGACTTTCTATGTTTGAAGGGGTTTACCACTATTAAATTCAGTTTTTTAAAGAGATGGGTGCACTTGTCAATTTTAAAAATTATCGGAGAAACATGCTTGTGGACCATAAGTATCATGAATCATACTAGAAATACGACAAATCATGTAAAAAAACATAAAGTAGATAAGAAAAATCATAAAGTAGATAAGAAACTTACCACATCATAAAACTGATAAAGCTGATCACATATATCATGAAGCGACTCAGATCATACCTGAAACACGACAAACCACAACACAAACCATATAAAGTAAACTAGAAACCTCATAAAGTATATCAGACAAATTAGAAAAGCACACCACAAATAGTGCAAAGATCACCACATCACGAAACTCATAAAGTATACTAGAAACTTCATAAAGCTTGTCACAAATTTTCTGAATCACACTAGAAAACTCATAAAACTTGCCAGAAGTATAAGAAGTTGACCATAATATGTGTGTTACGAGACAAGTCATAGTGACAATTCGACAATTACTGGGCTTGCATATCTTCATTTAATTATTTAATTATTCACATTAGTTATTATTTGGAATTTATTTAAGGTGAAAGTTATATTTGTTCTATTTGGAATAAGATTAGTAGATCATCCTAGTATATAATTAATATTTCTTGTAAGCGAAAAGAAATGAATTCTAGTAGTAGTAGGAAAAAGATAAGGAGAGAGACTAAAGTCTAGAGTGAGAACTAAAAGAGATTTGGTTGTGTAACTCTAAAAATAGAGTCTTTGTTTATGATTAATAATATGAGAAAATTGGAACCAATTTATGTTTCTTCTTTTGTTATTTTGTTTACATCCAAAATAATTTTGCGGCGCGAGATTAACGACGCCGCGAGCTAGACGACATCACAGTGGAAACTGGAGAGCGATGTCGCGGTCTCGAGTTCGGTGGCATTGCAAGGTCGTGGAGCTAAACGAGGCCGCGAATTCAACAAAATTGCGAGCTAAACTATGTCACAAGGACAGCGTGTCGCGAATTGAGCTAGGCGAATAAAAAATCACAATGATGATGACTTTGACGATGTTGCGATGAAGTGATGTCGTTTCGGGCAGAACGATGTCGTTTTCTGTCAGAACGACATTGCAGGGATGAAAATATTGACAGAAAAGAAACATGCAATTGTTACGGATGTTGGGCACGGTTAAAATTGAACCTAAAATTCAGGAAAGAATGGCCACAAGTCATGGTCAAAGAAAGATCTCTTCGTGGTAGGGCTGATAATCGGTTCGGTTATAACCGGAACCGTTTTGTTGGTTCTCGATTAACTGTACGTACTTCGTGCTTACCGTTAACCGAACCATTTATATTAGTCGGTTCACAGTAACCGCTTAGTCGGTTCTCGGTTATTTTTTCGGTTATCCGGATAACCATTAAGTTGGTGATTTGGCAAGGTTATACCAAAATAATTGATCGGTAGCATAACCAACGAAAAACCTTCTTTTTTCAATTGTGCATTTTTGTAGATTTTTTCCTAAAATAACTTAACTTAGATATCAATCTATAATCAACTCAATCCAACACAAGTATACAATAACACTATTACACAGTCAAATTTGATTAAAGAAACCGACGAGAATAAGAGACCCAACAAAAATTACTCAACTCATAAAGACATAAACCAACATATTACATGGAAGCTTAGATGTTCATGATTGTTGTCAAGCTACTATAAGTAAGTCCAACTTTATACTGTTCTTCAAAGCCCTTCTTTGAAATTATTCTCATTTGAGCAACTATTACAACTAGGGTACGCAAGGGATCTTGTAGACCTTCAAACATTCCACTATTTTTAACCTATACTTGCTGCTCATCGAGACTATTATTTGGGGTCATAACTATGAAGATGACCATAATCGGTTAATCATTTAACCGTCAGTTACTGACCGTTAAACTTTCGATTATTAATTAGCTAAATCTAACTATCGGAAACCGATCGTTTAGTTTTTAATCGGTTATCGATGTAACCGTTAACCATTGGTTTTGGTTCGGTTATCGGTTACACCGTTAACAAAATAACCGTTTATCACCCCTACTCCGTGGTCTGCTACTATCTCACAATCTACCTCTACTTCTTTAACAGTTGCACAGCCACCATTTCCCGTCTCATTAAGCGCAAGCAAACAAATTATTTGAAGCAACTTGTAATCAGCCTCATTCCCTGCAATTTGGTACAAACTACAAACAAGACTGAACAAAGTAACATATGATCTCTTCTACCAAGATAAATGATGAGATAGAAACCCAATCAAACTCCAAAAACGACGAGCTAATGTACAAGAGAAAAAAGATGCTTGAGGGTGTCCTCCTTACCAGTTACAACAAACCAGACAAATCAGATAAATGTTAGTCCTCCTAAAGCCAAAGCCTCACAGGTCGGAAGGATCCGATGTAAACATTGCCAAAAAGAAGATAAGTATCAGAGGAAGTTTCAAATTCCGAAGGGCTATTACTAGAGGTATTCAAACGGATTGGTTACCGTGGTAACCATATTAACCGGTAGTATTCGGTTAATTTAGTTTGGTTAATTTGGATAATTGGTTTGGTTTGGTTTGGTTTCAACACTGCTAACCAATGAAACCAATTAATCAATTAATGATACACCGAATATACAAAATTATTTATACTTCTATGCAACCAACCAAACCAAACTTTCGTGAATCCCTATTTTATTTCCATGTGCACAACAAACCAAATCATTATGGATCAAAAATTAAATGGGTATGCCTATATTTACTATGGATCAAAACATTTTGGACAACTACTAGACTTTAGGATTACGTACAATACCATGACAGTCGTCTCAAACTATGTATAGTTTAAGTGTTTTGTAGGAGAGTTTTAACTTCCTGATGAGGGGTCTTGGTATGTATTTATGTTAAGGGGTTTGTTGTAAGCTAACTATATTAGGTGCAGAGATGATGAATGATGTATTAACTCGAATGATGATGATAATCATGGATGGTTAGTCTTATTATTATTGCTTATATATAATGATAGTTTATGACAGTAATAGCATATGATAATGTTTTATTCATTAACTACATAATTATTTTCATGTAATGTTATGTTATTTGGTTAATCCGATTAATCAAACCAATTAAACTTTGGTTTGGTTAATTTGATTTCATGTTAATTTGGACGGCTTGGTTAAAACATTTTATTCCATGGTTAATGAAATTTAGGCTTAATTGGTTTGGTTATTACCACGGTAACCATTTGAACACCCAAGACTTATTACTACTAAAAAGTAAAAATACCAAGCTTTAGCAACAATGCCATTATATTGTGCAACTTCAATAATTGCAATAATATTCCAAACTATTGAAGGTCAACGTCTTTGAAATTTGAAACTTCAACCATTGCAATAATATTTCAAATTATTGGGGGTTAACGCAATTTGTGTAATATAAATGATAATGTTCCTACAAATTTGTATTTCTTGTGGTATTAGTCCTAATAAAAAACAGACAAAAAAAGTGAAAACAAGTTTTTATTCTCAGTTCTCACGTTTGGTATATGGCGCGCAGTATAGTTCCAAGTTCCAACTTCCAAAATTTGGTATATGGCATGTTTTTGTCTCTCCCTCCTCTATTTGTTTCCTTCTTTGTAAACCCAATGGGTTGGGCTGAAACGGATGCTTGTTTGTGGGCTAGTTACTGGACCAGCGAAAGTCTTGGTCTATCTTTCTCTGGGCCGGACCCAACGAAATTGATCCCTGATGGGCAATAACAAGGCAAAAAAGAACATGAGAGACGGCACAAGGAAGCTGTTCGCGATGGCGGAAGGGGAAGAAGCTGCAGTTGCAAAGGCTGAAGCAGAGTACTTCTCCAAGGACTTCGACTGGGAATCACTGAAACAACAAGTTGAAAAGAACCCTTCGTATCAGTTTCATCTGCTTCCACATCTTCCTTCTTCCTCGGACGAACAACGGGAGGAAGAGACGAGAGATTCCAAGGCGTGGCAGAGCTTCCACGTCCGCCATTCCGCCGGAAAGTTCTTCAAGGTTCCTTCTTTCCCACTTACTCATTTGTGAAGCTAATAGTTAACGGGTTAGCCAGGAATCTCGATTTTTATTCGGATTTAAATCTGCAGGAGAGAAGGTATTTGTTGAAGGAATTCCCCGAGTTGGCTTCTTCCCCCAAATTCTCCAAGGTTTTGGAGGTTGGATGTGGAAATGGAAGCTCCCTTATTCCTGTCCTGCGGTAACCTTTGTCCTTCTATTCTTTTTGAACAGCTTGAACCTGCTAGAGGCCTATAACAACCTTCACACATGAAAGTTGGAAATGGGTAATTTGGGTTGGAGATTTCTTTTGATGAAGACAATTGTGATTTTCCTTTTTTGTAGTGGCAACAAGAACATCACTGTGTATGCTTGTGATTGTAGTAGTGAGACTCTTGAGAGGGTTAAAGAGATTCTGTCTGCGAATTTGGCAGCAGCAGCTTTGGATCGCTTCGTTCCGTTCTTCTGTGATTTTGCTTCAACTGGATTTCCAGGATGGTTGGCTTGCCATTCATGCAGGGGGATGGCTCCCCAACGTGAACACAAAAGCTGTTCTGGTCTAAGATTGGTTCTCTGTTTTTAATTTCATCTCGATTATAGTCACACATTATGCTTTCCTCAACCATTGTTCCTCATTTGTTTTGTTAGGCGTTGGAGAGTTCCAGATGACTCAAATGCGAGGTCTAAGTCCATTGACAGAAGGTGGCTGCTGCATTGGCGGGGTGGATTTTGTTACCCTGGTACTTCTTTGAATGTGGCTGAAATCACTTTGGCAGTGTTTTTGTTTGTTTGTGGTCTTGTATCCATACCAGACACACATTCTTCCGTATATAGAAGTCACAGTTCATTAGCTTCTAGGGAATTTGATTCAAATTTATGAATTGCTAATTGAACCTGAAGTTGAAGGTATCATGATGATTTGTTCTTAAATAGGTTCCTACTTCCTAGCCATGACAATCCAATGCATCTCCCATTCATTCAACACGAGGTGTTTGATTCGATTTATTTGTAAAATGATGTATTCAGTCTCATTTGCATGCTCATTTGGCATTTTGCATGATATTAAGTATTATGTAAGGTGCAACTGGTAAGAAATATTGTTGGGTTACGTGCATTGGGCTGAAAATTGTGCCAGAAATGCCAGGCAACCAAATCTCCTATGAATAAATTCTCAGTATTTATTGCCTCTGAATCTCTTAATTGCTTCTTTGTTGCGGACTTTTATGCCTAGATATTCACACTCTCAGCTGTGCCACACAAATTGATGCCCAAATCCATCAAGGAGTGCTTTTCAGTCTTGAAGCCTGGTGGCATCCTCATGTTTAGAGATTACGGTAATGAAAACAACCACCGACGCTACTACTGTCAAAAGAATGAGCAGTGAACTTGTTAATTAGAGTAGCATCTACATCCCCGTTGTTCAGCTTCGATACTACCTCACTGAGAAATGTCCAGTCTTTTGAAACTTAACTAGGGCTCTACGACATGACCATGCTGCGGTTTGAGCCAGACAAGAGGGTTGGTTTCAGGGAGTACATGCGAGGAGACGGTACTCGCTCTTATTTCTTCTGTCTAGACACTGTCCGGAACCTTTTCCAGGGTGCTGGCTTCAGTGAGGTACACCATCAGCACTTGAACTCTCTGCTTCCTTAGTTTGAAATGCTTGACAAGTATAGTAGTAATAAAGCTAATGGCTTATGATTTCAATAAGTAAAACCCAATTGTCACCTTACAGATGGAGCTCGAGTACTGTTGTGTAAAGTCGGAGAATCGTAGGAAGGGGAAGATCATGCAAAGGGTGTGGGTTCATGGGAAGTTCCAGAAGCCCATGCTATAGCAGCTGCTGCAGCATGGTGGGATCAACATGTCTCTGTTTCAGGTACTGTTCTATGGAGTATGGACTGGTATAAAGATGCATCCTTAATCTTGCGACAAACATTTAATTTGTACCTGTGAATGGATTTATTATCGCATTGAATAAGCTCATACTGAAACCATCCGATCCTGTGTCAGCATATGTTTACAAGGGAGCTGTCAGTCAGCACAACAGCCAAATCCCCCCATTGACTCTGTGAGGAACTAGAACTCATCTACTGAAACTCCCCCTAAAATGTTTCCCCAAGTGCATAGACCCTGCAGAAAGCTTGAAGGTAGAGAGACGAGCAGCACAAGTGTTTGCCGCCAATATGTTGCAGCGCTGTCAGATTTGATACCTACTTGCAACGCTGTGATGACACCGGAATCGTATCAGGTCTAGCATCTACATATATCATCATCAGCAGTAGCAGTGGAATGAAATGAACAGCATACTGTCAAACATTTTGGTCCCTTGGGAATAGGGTAAGGCTCTCTCAGCAAACCTGGCATTGGTAATGTGGGTCTTCTTTGTTCAATTTGCTGAGCAGTTCAGCAGCAGCCATTCTCCCAAGTCCCAAGCATTCATTCTCATTTCTCACGCTTCTTGGCACCATCTTATCTGTCTATTGACCTCATCTTCCGCCCTTGTTGTAGTGTAATTATTTTATTGACGAATATGCAATGGTAAAAAAGCAATCAAGCAGTAATAATATGGTCAAAACACAATAGATTATATAAAAACAGATAATAGCTTTTGTTGTTCCTTAATTTGACTCATTCCTTGGACCATCATATCTTAGTTTAACCAGCCTCCCCATTTCATCATCGTCCTTACTAAAACACTGTTTCTTTATTATGATTTATGAGTTTTGGTCGCCATAAAAAAAGCGAGCAATTGGGTAAATTGTCTGTCCACTAGGCTAAGCTGGAACAGAGTCGCTGTATTATTTGGAGTAGTAGTGTCGTCATCATTCAGGCACACCATTAATTATATTATTTAATTAGCGATTCATCATCAACACTACGAACCCCACCCACTAATTTATTCAACTTGATTAATTAAGTACGTAAAACCCTTCTTTATCTCTAATAAAGTCTCTCTCCCTCCCTGTCATTACTAATTAATTGCTTTCCCGCACGGCGCCATTGGTTAGCCCCGCGAGATGAGTTCAGATTTATGCAGTAGTTGGTGTTTTAACTTTAACACCAGTGGTGGAAGCCACAACTTTCACAAAGTTAGGTCACAAACACGCACATGAGGATGGAAAGAAATCGGACCCTCGACGGCTGGAACAAACATAAACCGTGAAATTGTATTGGAGATTAAACTCATAATATATATTCTCCTAATATTACATTATAGATGTTGGGCATGTGACTCGGACCTAGCCGCGCAAGGTAAGACGCGCCGACACAAAGCGCGATACGAAGGTCTGAGGCGCGCACGAAGGCCTGAGACGCGCCACAACGTGTGCGCGGGTGGAAAGAAGCAACGCGCGAAGACCCAGAGCTCCTCACAAGCTGCGCGAGGGTGGAAAGTATCAAGGCGCGGAGACTCCGGGCTCGTCGTAAGCCACGCGCGCGCTGAGAGGGAAGAACGAGTATCGAGCCACAAAGCCATAAGGAGTTCCCCTCACACTCCCCGAGGGCCAGCCACGTTGGGATCAGAGATACAGTCGTAGGTACACCTCTGACATGTCCTAGGTAGGGGGATGGCCTAAATCCCCGACACGTCAGTAGTCATGTCAAGGTCAAGGTCCCATCATGTAATCCACCCACTCACCCACCACCATGTAGCCTATAAATATGGCATTTACTCCGGTGGGTGAGGAGATCGGTTTTTTGGATATTCTCTCTCTATGAACATCAGTTTCTCTCTCTAAACTCGAACTCTCTCAATCTTCTCCCCTCAGCCTCATCCCCACTACCCGCGAGATCTCAGATTTTCCCCATTGCCTACTCTTCTTGACCCACATCTTCCCCCGAACCTCACTCCTACACTCAGTTAGGTTCAAACAATTGGCGCCCGCCGTGGGGCCAAGAAGAAACGCAGAGGAAAATCTACCAATGGCAGAACGCAACCACGGCCAACCTGACGAAGCGACGCCAATCAAGGCAATGACCAACCCAAGGGCGTTCGCAGAAGTCAGCGACCTTAACGCGGTGCTCCTCGAAGAAGAAGAGCCCGAAATGACAGCCAAAGAAATGAGGGAGCTGGTGACAAAGCAAAACAACGTCATAGCTGACATGCAGAAACAAATGAGCCAAGTCATCGCGCTCATGATGAACAAGGAGGCCGCGCCAACAGTAGACGCAACGGCAGTCGCGCCTCAACAAGCCTTGGGAGAAGCGTCGGGAACTGCCCAACCACCACAACACGCGCCGACGGAATTCCCCGCGTGCGAAACGCAGGGAATCGAACCACCAGGGCGGGCGGACCTCAGCTTCTTAGAGCAACACTTGTCTCCGCAATACCGACCCAACCCGCCCAAGAGGATCCTCCACCAGCCGTTAAGCGCGCAAATTATGGCGGAGCACCTAAGCGGGGCGCCACCCACCCTCCCAACATACAATGGCACGACCGACCCAGAAGACCACGTGAGCACCTTCTGCTTGCGCATGCAACTCCAAACCAACTCCAACGCGGCGCTGTGCAGAACCTTCCCGTCAACATTTTCTGGAATATGCCTCGACTGGTACAACAGACTCCCGAACGGAATCATCCGCTCGTTCGAAGAGTTCATACTCCTGTTCACAACAAAGTTCGCGTCCCAGAAGAGGCGTCCTCTGCATCTCAAGGCGTTGATAGATATCAGGCAGAAAGAGGGGGAGAGCCTGAGGGCTTTCTACGCTCGATGGTCCAGGGTGGCAATGGCCGTCCGCGATCTTACCCCCGAAACTGCTGCCCATCACCTCATGGAGGCCACTTGCAACATGGAGCTCAAGCGGGCGCTAGCAAAGAGGCCTGTAACACTATCCACGGAATTGGAAATGAAAATCGAGAAGGCAATCACATTGGAAGAGACTCTCGGGGCGGGATCGGTCAGGCGCTTCGAACCGGCAAAGTCGCAGCGCGAAGAACAGGGGCGTCGACAACCTCCGGCCCCGATCCCACGAGACCAATTGGTGCAGCTGCACAGTGGCCCAAAAATACACCCTCCTCCCCCGCAAGAGCAAGCTCAGCGTCGGCGATCGCCAGATAGACGAGCGTCCAACACCTACACGCCACTTAACGACTCCGTGAGAAACGTATTCCACGTTCTCCGCGAGAAGGGCTACAAGCTCAATTGGCCTGCTCCGTTGAAGTCCCGACCTCATATGCGCGATCCAAACAAGCACTGTGACTTTCACAGAGCAACAGGCCACTGGACAGAGGAGTGCCGGGAGCTGCGGTACGAAATCGAGGGCCTCGTACGGCGAGGATTGTTGACCGAGTTCACTCATGTCAAAGAAGAACAAGTTGAGGGCCCCCAGAACCCGCCACCTCCTCCACAGACCGACTACAACGACGCCGGCGGCGCGTATGTGGTACGCAAAGAAATAGGGGTGGTAACGGTAGAAGGAGATCGCCCCAAGAAGAAAACCAAGCGAGAGCGCGCAACTGAATGCGCGGCCGTAGACGCACGGGCGAAGTTCAACCTGAGCTTCGATGATGCGGAGTTCCCACGAGGGGTTCCGTCAGAAGATCCGCTCATCATCACCACGCTGATTGCCGGATGCAAAATCCATCGTCTGCTGGTAGACGGAGGTAGCGCAGCTGACATCCTCTTCCAAAGCACCATCGACAAAATGGACATCGACCCGCGCCTGATCAAACGCGCGCAGGGCAATCTGGTCGGGTTCTCCGGAACGAGAGTCCTAGTAATTGGAGTGGTCACCCTCCCAGTAGTAATCGGAGACCAAGAGCCGCGCGTCTCCAGGCAAGTGGAATTCACAATTGTCGATTGCAAATCGGCACACAATGGCATCCTTGGCCGACCTTTCCTGGCGAAATTCATGGCCCTCCCATCAACGTGCCACCAAAAGCTCAAATTTCCCGCCCAGACAGGAGTTGGAGAGGCGCGAGGAACATCATGGGAAGAGCGCAATGAGGTGCGCCAGACCAACATTGTCGACACGAGAGCGGAAGAGCCCCGCCCGGAGTCCATGGATTCCGACTTCGAAGTCGCGCTGGACCCCGCCGAGCCGACTAAAAAGATACGAATCTCCACCCACGTCAGCAGTGACGCGATCGAACCACTCGTGACATTGCTAAAAGAGTACAAAGAGCTGTTCGCTTGGTGCACAGAAGACATGCCAGGAGTGCCCAGAGAAATAGCTCAACATTGCCTGGCGGTCCCGAACAACGCGGAACCAAGGAAACAAGGGCGAAGAACATTCACGGGCGACAAGCTGAAGGCCATAGAAGAAGAGGTAGCGAGCCTACTAGCAGCAGGGTTGATCCGCCCCGTGAAATACCCAAAGTGGCTGGCAAATGTGGTCTTGGTTAAAAAATCATCGGGGGCCTGGCGGATGTGCGTCGACTACACCACGATCAATAAAGTATGCCCGGGAGACCCATATCCCCTACCGCGCATCGATCAACTGATCGACGCGACCGCCGACCACGAGACATTGTCCTTCCTCGACATGTTCTCGGGATACCACCAAATCCCAATGTCCATTGAAGACGAAGAAAAAACAGCGTTCATGACGCCGTTCGGGAACTTTTGCTTCGTCGGGATGTCGTTCGGATTAAAGAACGCAAAGAATGATCGATGCGGTGTTCTCCCGACAGATCGGGCGGAACATCGAGGCATATGTGGATGACCTCATCGTCAAAACAAAGGCGGGCAACTCACACCTGGAAGATCTGCGCGAGACATTCGAAGCCCTCCGCCAGCACAACCTTCGCCTCAACCCACTCAAATGCGTTTTTGGAGCGGAAGCAGGGAAATTCCTTGGGTTCATGATAACGAAGCGCGGCATAGAGGTTGACCCGAAGCAAATCTCTGCAGTCCAACAACTTCGGGCGCCGAGGAACGCAGTGGAAATCCAATCCCTGAACGGCAAGATAGCGGCAGTGGGAAGGTTCATTCCAAGGTCTGCCGACAAATGTGCTCCCTTCTTCAAGACACTCAAGAACGGGGCACGCTTCACATGGTCTACGGAATGCGAAGCAGCATTCCAAGAACTAAAGGCGTATCTTGTATCCCCTCCTGTACTGACTGCTCCCAAGCTTAATGAAAAACTTTTCTTGTATCTCGCCGTGTCAACAAGGGCTGTGAGCGCAGTACTGATATCTAGAAGAGATGGCAAAACCGAACAACCAGTATATTACACCTCGCGCACCCTCGTCAGCGCGGAAACAAGATATTCCTCGATCGAGAAGGCTGCCTTGGCGCTAGTAAGCGCTTCACAGAAGTTGCGCCCGTACTTCCAAGCGCACCAAATCACCGTCCTGACAAACCTTCCACTAAAAAAGATTCTGACTTCGATGGAAGTGTCGAGGCGTATGGTCAAATGGGCGGTCGAGCTTTCAGAATACGATATTCAATACGCGCCAAGGCCAGCAATAAAGGCCCAAATCTTAGCGGACTTCATCGCAGAAGGGGTAACCCACGAAACAACGCCGGAGGGTGTTTGGGAAGTTTACGTCGATGGAGCGGCGAGAAAGCATGGCGCCGGAGCAGGGGTTGTGGTGCGCACACCTGCTGGCGTGGTGCACGAAATCGCAATCAGGTTCAGGGCATTGAAAACAAACAACGCCG